CCCCACACGAACGGAAAAGCAATTACTAATTTTTATCTCGTCCTCTAGGTCATGTGTTGCCATACTACTATCGTCATTTGCTCGACGACGATGGCAAAAGGTCGTGATTATAGCTGGTCAAGTATATTTGCACCATCTGTATTGTACTTATCCAATACCATCCTTAGGTACAAATATTGAGCCAGCGGACTAAACCAATAATTCTTGAAATCTGACCAGTTGATTTGGCCATCCGAGTTTGATTCAGCCTGAGCACCGATCGATTGAAATTAATTGTCAAAAGTAGGTAAGTCGAAGGCAAAAATAATCAACCATATTACTGGTAAAAATAAATATTTGTACCTTAGGATGCAATGTTGTTGTTTCATTGGATTTTCTGTATTAATCAGTCCTTGGATTTTACACTCACTGTGAACGCATTGGTGGCTGCATTTTTTGAAAGGAAATAGGTGATATTAGATAATGGACATCAACATCATGGTGCTGTTTCATTTCACGTGATCCTATTGCAGTTAGTTGAAGCATGCAGACATTTATCTACTCTAGTTCAGAGGTAAAATGCAGGGAACATGCCGAAAAAAGGCACCCCAAAATTCTTAGTTTTATTCTTGAATTTCTAGATTGTCTATTTAATCAAGCATGTAGTTGTGAATGGCATATTTCTAATTTAATGACACTGTGGCAATTGTATTTTCTATTTAAAACCATGAGATTATCTTCTCTAAGATTTACTGTGAATGGCAATCTAAATGGCTATTTACTGTTATTTCTCATGGCTATTTAATGTGGACAACATGCTCATTTGGTTGTTTGATTTGCACAACATGAACATGATTGGTAAGAACTTTTATTAGAACCAATTTTGGACTTTCCAATTATTTTAATTTAATGATGTTTGAGGCTTAATTTATTATTGTTGTTGTTTCATTGGAATTTTATATTACGACAGTGAATTATTCAAAATGAGGTTTAATTTTTAAATTAAATGCGCACATAAGTTGATTGTTTCAATTAGTTATTCTCTCATATTATTTTGTTTTTGAGCTTTAATTTGACAAGAAATCGATACACTTTGCTAGGGTTGCCAATATTGAAAATAATCGAAAACTTAGTAATGGTCAAGTTTATTTGAGATATACTGAACAGACGGCGAAGAAGGATTAGCGTGGTTGACCCCAAGTTATTTACAATAAAACTTAGTTTGATGTTAGTATATTATTTTGATTACTTTTATAGCCATATGAGACCAAATGTAAGTGCACGAGTGCTATGTGAACTCCACAGATTACTTTTTCCATTTATTTTACTCTAAATGCCATACGAGATTGAAAAATTCAACCAAAAAAAAAAAAAAAAAAACAATCATAAAAGTGAATGAAATGAAAATTTGACCAACACATATGAAACATATATCCAAACTGTTAATATATTACAACGAGTCGCAAGATAAACCATCATAAGAAACATATATCCAAACCTTTAATATATCATAACAATCCGCAACATATTATAAATATGTCCAATGCTCGGATGTTGACAAAATTAAGCATTGAACATTGAAGCCTACTACAAAGAAGTTGTTACGGTACGAACAAAGCATATAGCAATTACAAATTGACATCACTCGTTCATGTGGGTGCCTTCCCCTTCCCATCACATTCTACAATTCCTTTTCCTTTGCGAAATATTACGTGCAATGTTACGTTGACGTCTCGTTTCTCGGTAATTCGAGCTAGGCTGTCGAAGAGCCTTGGCAAGTCTTCATATTACTCCTTCGGCTCATGGTTCACCTCCTCATTAACAGTACTCGCCTCTCCTCTTAAATCTTCATTTTTCACCCAATCAAAATATTCACAGTCATTAGTACACGTGAAGAACAACCGCCCTCTGTTTTCAGTATTTCATTCTACCTCAAAACATTTTCGAAATCCACGTTTACATGAAGGGCAGCCATGTTTTGTTTTGCATTGTCCAAAGTAGTAAGTGTTACTTCTACAGCCGTGACAAACTTCGAAATTCCTTCCTCTCATTCTAGTCGACCACTGTTCAAGAAACAAATAAACCTAGATGAATCTAGCTGAATTACGAAATCTCACATTGGAACTTATGAACAGCAGTACATTGCAAACAAAGCACCGACTTCATTGTATTTCACTAACATTCATTTACTGCTGTCTTGCAAATACAAATTCCATAAAATCAGAATAATTTCTTCTACAAATTCAACAAGCTTTCCACAATATAAATAGAGAATGAAAATGGTAGATTTCAAATTCAGCAAACTTTCTCTAGAAAATTGTTGAAACGAAATTAAGAAATAATACGATTTCTGAAGTTTTCATGTATGAGCTACCCTATTTACAAGCAACAAGCAAAATGCCATTTCAATAACATTCCAATAATCTGAAGAACAATAAAAAATTGAGCAAGTTGTGCCATTATTTAATTAGGAATCGAAAAGTTTTTTCGCCCCAAATTTTGTGAAAATTCATCAATGTATGAACAAACTTAGAAATTTACGACAAACACAAGAACAAAACCTTCAACCTCATCAATAGTAAGGCTCCATAATGTTCATACTTCAAATATATGTCAAAATACAGAGGAAAAAAACACCCAAATCAATTGGAGAAGCCTAAGATAGCTTAACAAGAAATTAGTGTAAAACAGTACAAATCAAAATACCTTTGCCTAGCTCAGACGCGTAGATATCGGTGCTGACTTCAAATTCTATTTCCACCTTTGGTTTTAGTTGCCTGCGTCGTTCTTGGGTAGAAGGATGTTCTGGAATAGATGAGCCCGTACTTGATTTCTCGATCGTGGGCCCAGAAATTTGGAGATGAAGAGGTGAGGGAAGAGCGGCGGTAAGAGCAGTGGGTTTCTCGTCTTGCTTTCTGGTTTGGGGAAAAAAGGGAAATGATTTGGGGGGAAAATGTTACGGGTTCATTTTATGGTGGCAGACGATTGGTTCGATTTTGGGCTGAAAACCGAAGGAAATAAAAAAACGTATTATATGTGGGATATGTGCACAAGGTCAGCAAATTTGAAATCCTGTAAGTATTCTGTCCAACTTTCCTGTACCCATAGAATTATCCTTCCTCATTAAAAAGTCTTCACTCAGTCTCAAATCTCTCCTATGCTAACCCTCAAAGCTTCTATTTGTGCGTTCAAGCTGCGCCTACTTCTGCTCTAAATCTTCTAAGGTATTTCTGGTGGCCAGCTAAAATTGAAGTATGACGCCATGTTTGAGCACGTGGGTTTTAAAAGAAGAGTGAAACATTCACTACTGGAGATGTTTTTAAGAATTGTACCCTTAAAATGGATGAAAGGGAGAGAGTCAAGAGACGTGTTTTTTCTCTGAACTCTAAGATTCCAATTGCCAATCATCTTCATTCTTCACCAAAAGAATTACCTCTATTCCCTATACGACGATTCATATTTCCCGTTAATCTCTCGTTGAAAATTTGAAGTACTCGTTCATTTTTTCGTCAATCTTTTTTCGAGATTCGAATTCAATTCGCTGGGTTTTAAAAGTTGCTAAGCAGGTTATCGACCTTAACGTGTGGATTGAGGAAGCGCGGGTAAAATTTTCGCCGGAGAAGTTAAAGGGAGAGACATATTCCTGTCGTCTGTTGAGGTCACTTTGGCTTTATCTCTTTCCTATATAGCAGTTTTTAGAAGCTGAATAATTGATTTAATTGCTTCACGATTCACATATTCCTTATTGGATCCTGTAAATTATTTGAAATTATTGGATCCTGTAAATGGTCAGATTTGTTTATTTTGTTTATTTATCTGATTTCTTCTTATTAATTAATTGCTTTAGATGGAGATTGTTATTCCATAGGCACTATGCAAAAAAGTACAGAATAATGCAATGATAAATGATCATATATAATATTCTTTGTGCCTAAATACTTATTTATCATTTACAGGATCCAACAATTTTATTTTAATGTACATTATAAATCTTAGACTTGGTGGAAGATCTTCAGTTTTTACACTCATTGGGTTTGGTTTATTCTATAGGACTTGATCAATTGTTTTCTTTTTGATATCAATTGAATCTCAATTCTCTAGTAACTAATATCTATATGAAGCGATAATTTTACCCAAATTCTTTTATCTTTTATTAAAAACTGCAATCATATTGTTAGTATCTTCCACTAAAGTGAATTCAAATTGATATATAGTTATCCCTTGGGAAGCTTAATTTTCTTAATTTATTTATAGTAAAATAAAGTTACATTGACATATATGCGTAAAAAAATTTATCTTGTTGTTATAAGGCTGTTTGTTTATACAAATGTAACTATTTGTAAATATCCTCCATAGGACGAAGTTGGTTTTGCAAAATTAGTTAATCAATTGATTAACAAGTCAATTGTTTTTCCTTTCTGATATGATCTATTGACTATGGCAGGCCGTGAGGGAACTATGGGAGATTGTTCCAACTCGCAAATGGAAAGACAGATAAAACAAAATCAACAAAATAGTTTTTATAGGTATGCATTCGTAATGGCTTATTCGATTTTCAAATTTTAATTGAAGTCCAAACTTTAGATAGGTGTTTCTTGTGTATAGGTGGATTGTTAAATGAAGAGCTATCAACCTAGTTATATGATAAAAAAAAGGAAAGAGTAAACTATTATATTGGTTGTAATCTTATTTTTCCCTCTTTCTTGAGTTTAAGCAATCATGAATAAAAAAAGGAAAGGGTAAACTATTATATTGGTTGTTCTTATTTACTTTTATCCAAAATAAAAAACTTTTCACTTATAAAATTGTGCAATTAGGTTATCTCAATTTACATTTAATCAGGTCTTTGTTTTATTTTTTTCCAATTTTCTTGGTTGTGAAAGTGCTTGTTATCATATGCTGATCTCTAACTACTTGCTTGTGGATTTTGCATATGTATAGCATAACATTATGACAAGGAAGTTGCTTTTTGATGGGAAGCTAGGCATTGCTGGTGGTCAGGAGAATTACAAGGACTTTGATTTGTTTGCGATTGCAGCTAGCAGTGGTGAAGTTCGTTCCTCACGATTTCCTAGTCTAGAACTCATTTTTTGTTTAGTCTATACTCCATTTGTGCTAAAAGCCTAGGATACATTGGTAATTAAGATATTAAGGTGCATGACACATTTTGTGGTTAAATATTCATTTGAATTTATGTAATGACTATTAGTAATTATTTTATGTGCAATGACAATTACCTTTTGTACTCGGTATTGTATATTGTGAATTTCTTTTTTTTTTTTTGTTATTTTCTCTTGTGCACTCTTTTTTATATTTATTAATTGAAAAATTATTAATGGGTTATAACAACTAAATATTGGTTGCTAATGTTGCATCTTTACCGACCAAAAATTGGTAGTTGAGATATTGATTATTTTTTTACTATCGTTTTACCGACCAACATTTGGTCACAAGAGAATACAAATTAACCAACTTTTTACCTCAAATTGAGCCCTTTATCGACCATAGTGTGGTTGTTGAAATGTGGGTTTTTTTTTTAACCATTTCATTTATCGACCAACATTTGGTTGCAAAAGGATGAAAGTTAACCAACTTGTTACCCAAAACCGAGCCTTTTTACCAACCATTGGTGGTTGCTGAAGGCATATTGTTGCGTGTTGTCACACCTGTCCTACCCACCTGGGCCAATGGCCCACTCATCCTGATCCATGTGGCATTCCTGCCAAGGTGGCACATATTGCCGAGGTGGGTTATATCCGAAGTGCTTCAAGCCGAGGTCCATCCGCCGAGGCTCCTCGATCTGATGTACGCGAGTCTGCCGAAGTCCAACTACCGAGGCCCACAACCCGAAGCATGGAACCTGTTGAATGTAGCTAAGGTCCTCAAGTGGAAGTATTTGTCAAATGGTCGAAGCCCCGAAGCTGATGAACGAGCCTCTTAACCAAAAGGAGCTTCCTCCACAGTCACTTCTCCCAAGAGATCGCCTGCTCAGAGATCTTATTCGAATGACTGATGGAATGTTTGTCACAAGTATAAAGGTCAAGTCTTGTCACTAGTATGGAGGACCTGCGCAAGTAATAAATGCGCCGTAAGCTAGCAAGTCAAGCCCCATATCTAAGAAAAGACGTTTGAACTAAAGAGATGAGGCCACGTGCCACTTCATCCAAGGGCTCCCATTTCATATGTATCACTATAAATACTTCCATTGTGAAATGTCAAAGGCTAATGCAAGAATCAATACTTAAGACTACATTCACTAAACTCTCTCTCATTTTACTTGCGATACACAAATCGAGTTTATACACTTTTACATATACATTTACGAGCATCAGTTGGTAATTATTGTACAATCAGATTATGAACAACCTGTCGGATTTCGAACGTCGCCGTCCTACGTCGTTGGGTTATTCCTACACCCCTTTGAACCGCTCGTTTTAGATCGTCCACGTGTCTTAGTGTATTGGACATTCGCCCACGCAAGCGTGGGTGGGATCGGCATCTGTTGGCACACTTTTTAGGGTCAACAGATTGGCGCTGTCTGTGGAAAACCATACCATAATCACGAGCAACCTTGTGGTAGAAGCTTACTGAAAAACATTTGGGCAACCCCCCTTTAAAAAGGATTTGTTCTTGAAAAAGAACAGGAGAAACCCCTATCACTTAGAGAAATCTAAGTTTGATAAAAGAAAAATGAGTTCTAACGAAGATACTCCCCCAAGGAGGGTAAGAGAAAGTACGAATGTGCCTCCCCAACCTGCTGCCCCAGCAGCTCGGTCGAGGCTCCACCACCGCCAAAGGAGAGGTGGGATGCATGCGACAGCATGACTATCAAGAGAAATGGCTACCATGGCAGCCAACATGAGGGATATAGCCAACCAAAACTTGGCCATGAGGGAGCTCATGGCCCAAATGCAAGGCCAGGGAGGTTTCTCCATTCCTCCATATGCCCCCCCACGGGCACTATCAGCAAGAGGATGAGGTCCAGAGTCATAGGGCTGCCTCGCCAGACTATGGCCGAGGTGAAAGCCCATTCGAGAGGGAAGTCGGAGTCGACATTTCCTCCAACTATGCATCTGGCCAACCCACCGAGGTCCAAATGAGCCATGATAACTTTCCACCTCCATATGAGCAAGACCCAAGACATAAGAGGGCAGGAAGTGTTTTTGACAGAATCAGCCCCGTCGAACCGAGGCCCAGTCGATAGCAGGCTCAGCAGCCTCGGATGAGGCCATAGCCTCCACCTCCGATGCCCTAGCAGCCGGAGAGAAGGCATGAAAATGCCCCCCGCGCTATCCCACCTAGAAGTAGGCCCCAAAGTAGGGAGGAAGAGGCTAGGAACCGGCCCGGACCCTCTCACCAACAACCGAGGTACGAGGCCGAAGACTACGATTCTGATGAGTAGCAGAGGTCCTGTGACTTGGACGATGATGATGAGAACCTGCCATTCTCAAGAGAAATAAGAAATGCCCAGGTCTCGAGCCACTATGTCATGCCAAAAATACCAAAGTATGATGGGAGAGGTGACCTAGAAAAGCACCTCAATGCTTACAAGACTCACATGAGTCTGAGAGGCGCCACCCCAGCCGTGAAGTGCAGAGCATTCCATTTAACCCTCAGTGGAGCGGATGGAATCTGGTATAGTAGGCTACCACTTGGGAGCATCCAAAGCTAGCCCGAGTTCAAAACTACCTTCTTGAAGAGGTTCGCAGTGAGCAAGGAAGGAGAGGCCCCCATTCAGCGTCTCCAAGACATGAGACAGGCACATGGCGAGTCCCTAAAAAGCTTCCTATCCCGCTTCACCGACGAGATGACCTACTGCGTACAAGTCACCGACAGAAAAGCACTATCGACATTGAGAGGAGGCTTGAACATGAACACCCTATTCTGGAGGGATGTGCAGAATCAAGACCCCACCACCTATGACGCCCTACTAGAGATGATGAGAAGGGAGATAATCAATGAAGAATTGATTGAACATAGGAACAGGGCAAGCAGAGGCCTCCCACCTCCTCAAAGACAGCGAGGTAGGGGTCCGACCTCCCACCTCATGGACTACCATATGAACCAAGCCGGAAATGAGAACTCCGGCCAAGCTCTGGCCACCACAACTCTAAACGCGGTTCCTACCTTGGCATATGAGGATGTCAACCCAACCGCTAACCCACATCAGATGGAGGCCCAGTAGGGACCCCGTAGAGGGAGAGGCCGAGGCCGAGGTTTTGTACCTAGAAATAGGTCCAATCCGAACCTCCCAGGATACTGTTTGCACCACAGGTCCTACAGGCACGACACTGCGGATTGCAGAGACTATGCACACCGCTCCCGACAGAAACCCGCCAGAGAAAGACATGACTCGTCCCAGGCGAACAGGCCCCCGCCCAGGCACGAAAATCGACATGGGCGTGAGGTGGCCGCTCCTCGTCAAAGGGATGTATCCCCAAGGGGAAGAGAGCAAGACACAGAGAGGCCCAGGGAAGGGCGTAGACACCGAAGAAATAGGCAAGCTCAAGATGAGGCCCCTATCCACGAGATAGACACCATATTTGGAGGCCCTTATGTTGGCGGTGAAACACGAAACGCAAAAAGAAACTATGCTAGGGAGGCTAAGCACCCCCCTTTGACAAGTTACATTGTGGACAACAGTTCTCGAAGAAACCAAGTACCACCCATTGTCTTCACCCAGGAAGACACCGAAGGAGTTCATTACCCCCACTGCGATGCGCTGGTGGTGAGGGCTGTCATAGCCCAAAATGGGCTTAAACGAATGCTAGTCGACAACGGCAGCTCCGTCAACATCTTATTTGGGTCCGCCTTTGACAAGACGATATTGGACCATCAGTTGACGCCCACCACCACTCCATTGTATGGATTTACCGGAGATAGCATCACTCCGAGGGGAAAGATAACACTGGCAGTGGAGATGGGAGAATCCCCTCAAACTACGATAAACTTCATGGAATTCCTCATAGTTGACAGCCGGTCAGCTTACCACGAAGTCTTGGGCAAAACGATCCTAAAGGAATTGGGAGCAGTCACCTCCATCCACCACCTATGCATGAAATTCCCAACAGAAAATGGGGTGGCAATGGTGAGAGGCGACCAGAGAGGCTCGAGAGAGTGCTATCTAAGCTCCATTAAGAAGGTAGAGCCCCGGGACGTCCACGTGATCATGGCTGATGTGGTCATAGTGGATATCCCAGGTGACGCTCCCACTGATCAAGAAGATGTTGATATGATTGACGCACCGCTTAATCAGGAGATGCTGATTGTTGATGAGATCGACCCCCGCATAATGGAACATGAGCCTTAAGCATCCCCTGTAGAGGAACTTGAGAGCTTCTTAGCCGATCCCCGAGATCCGTCCAAGGTGTTGAAAGTAGGCAGAGGCCTCTCCAACATTTTGAGAGAAAAGATTAAGGACTTCCTAGGCAAGAACCTTGACGTCTTTGCTTGGAGGCATGAGGACATGGTGGGCATAGACCGCAAGATCAGTTGCCACCACTTGAAAATTGATCCTAATGTTGCCCCGCATAGATAAAAAAGGAGAGCCCTCAACCTTGAGAGGTATAGGCCCTAAAGGAAAAGGTTCATAAGCTCATCCAAAATGGCTTCATCAGGGAGGCCACCTACCCGAGGTGGGTCTCCAACCTGGTCTTAGTTAAGAAACACAAT